TGTATTTTCTCACATGTAAGCTTTGGGGGGATACCTCACATCCAAACCACAACAGCATGCAAAAACATGAGTAATTAAGAAGAGAAATGAAATTTCGAAAAAAGAATAAAAGAAAATGCTATAAACAATGATTGAAACAAAATTGAAGAATGCCTTTGATGGGCTCATCAGTGGTAATGTGAACAAGGAAAATGTCATTGAGCTTGAAGATAAGTCAGTGAATGGAAACCTAACCTCCCACAAAACCCAGAACAAATCAGTCCAATACCTGTAGATATAATTTCAAGAGGTATATCATATGTATAATTGGAATACCATGAAGACAAGAAAGAGAAAACAGCAGAAAAAGTGATGATGGCCAGGAATTTCCAAATTTAATGACAGATATCAAAGAACAGATCCAGGAAGTCCAGAAAACACCAAATGGAATGAATCCTTGCTTGGCCTATCATATTTAAATTATTTAATTTTTAAATTTTTTTGGTCTTCTTTCTTTATCTTTATTTTTTAAATTTGTTTTACTTAGTTACACATGACAGTACAGTGATCTTGACATATCATACATTTGAATCAGATGGGATATAATTTCTCATTTTTCTGAGTATACAGGTTGCAGAATCACATTGGTCATGCAGTCACATATATACGCACAGTAATAATAATATCTGTGGCCTATCATATTTAAATTGTAGACTATAAAAGATAATGATAAAGTCTTAAAAGAAGCCAACAGATAAAAACGTCTTACCTATGGAGGAACAAAGATAAGAATTATAGGATACTTACTTTTCTTCAGAAACAATGCAAATAAAGAGTGGAATAAAATATCTCCAGGTTCTGAAAGGACCCCTCCACCAATCTAAAATTCTATAAACACTGAAAATTTCCTTTCAGGTAAAAAATAAAGACACTATCTGATAAACAAAAACAATTTATGATCACCAGAATTTCTCTGTGAGAATTGTTGAAAGACTTTCCTTCAGAAAGAAAATGATGTAGGTCAAAATTTCAAATCTACATAAGGAAAAAGAGTTGGAAAAGAACAATAATGCCTTTTATTTTTCTTAATTGATCTAAAAGAAAGATACCCACTTTAATAGTAAAAGTGAACTGGAAAATTATAGTTTGGGTAAATGAAATGAGTGATAGTGAAATGATGACATAAAGACCAAGAGGGAGGAATTGAAAACACTTTTTTTTGTCTTTTTAAATTTTTTTATTGATTTTTTAAAATAAATGACAGCAGAATGCATTATAATTCTTATTACACATATAGAGCACAATTTTTCATATCTCTGGTTATATATAAAGTATGTTCACACCAATTTGTGTCTTCATACATGTACTTTGGTTAATGAAACACTTTTATAATGTACCTAAATTTGTGTGTGCATATGAATGATATGAGTTTGAAATTTAAAAATTAACTTTCCACAGCACAAAAATAAATACTTATGCATAAATTTAACTAAATACAAATAGGAGCTATATTCAGAAAACTATAAAACTCTGTCTTTTATGGAAGAATATTCTGTTTGATGGATTAAAATATTCAGTATTGTTAACACATCAGTTTTTCCCAACTTGATCTACAGGCTCAAAGTAGTCCCAATCAAAATCCCAGCAAGCTATTTTGTAGATATTGACGAACTGATTCTAAAGTTTATATAGAAGAGCCAACTGGATATTGAATAGTCACAAAGATCAATGGAACAGATTAGAACTCAGAAATAGAGCAACATAAACGTAGTCAACTGATCTTTAACAAAGGAGCAAAGGCAATTTAATGGAAAAAGGGTCATCTTTTCAACAAATGTTGCAGGGACAACTGGATCTCTATGTAAAAACATGAATGTAGACACAGACCCTAGATATTTCACAATAATTAGTTCAAAGTGGACTATATACCCATGTTCATAGTGCAAAACCACAAAACTTCTAGAAGAAAAATAGGAAATATAGATGACCTTGTGTTTGGCTATGAGTCTTTTGATACAACATCAAAAGTGTAATCCATGAAAAAATCCAATGAATGGAACTTCTAAAAGAAATAATTCGTCTCTATGAGAGATGGTAGTAAGGATGAAAAGGCAAGCCAGAGACTGGCAGACTACACATATGATAAAACGTATCTTTCAAAGCAAATCAGATAAAAGACTATTATCCAAAATGTACAAAAACCTATTAAAATTCAGTAGTAAGGAAAAAAGAGATTTGAACAGATACTTTACTAAGAAAGACATATAGATCCTCAAAAAAGCATATAAAAATGTTAAATATCATTTATCATTAGGAAATAGCAAGTTAAAACATCAATAAAATACCATTCTACACTTATAAGATGGGCAAAATCCAAAAATATCAACACTATCCATTGCTTGCAAAGATGAAGCACAAGAGGACCTTTATTCAGTTTGATACAGGTACTTTGGAAAGATAAATGACACAATGATGTAGGTACTTGAGAAGATAGATAATTTCTTGCAAATCCTGTCTTATTCTTACCATAAGACCTAATGAGCATGTATTTACTCAACTGATTTGAAAATGGAAAAATCTGAATGAGTATTTCTAATAGCTGTATACATATCAGTCCAAACTAAAACTAACCAAGATGTCCTTCAATAGGTGAATGGATAAACACTTTGGTATATCCATAGGATGAAATATCAGTGATAAAAGAGCTATTCAGTAACCCAAGTCATTCATCAATCTTAAATGTATATTGCTAAATGAAAGCAGTCAGTATGAAAAGGTTATATACTGTATGCTCTTGATTTTGTGATCTTTTAGAAAAGGAAAAACTATAGAGATGGTTAAAATGATCAATGTTTGCTAGAGATTCAGTGGTGGGGAGGAATGGGTAATGGGTGAATAACAGAAGATTTTTTTTGGGTGTTCAGACTATTCTGTAGGATGCTGTAATGGTGAGTACTTAACAATATGCACTTGTAAAAACTCAGAACTTAAGCAGGCAAGGAGTGAACAGTAGAGTATTCAAATTGAAGAATTATTTTGGAAGACAGGGATTCCAGATGGAATGCAGAATGTGACAAAACCATCTAGTTGTATTACAAAAGTGTGAAGCAACCTCATTGAATGGGCTGGGGAAAAGTGTGGACCTACATAACTCTGGAAATGAGTGGAGTCTGTAGAACTAAAGGCCAAAAAAAAAAAAAAAAAAAAAAAAAAGATACATACTGGTTAAGTAGTATATGCTAGTCAGTTTTTCCCTTGGGAGCATGGGTTAACAATTATCAAACCATGTGTATGCTGAAGTGGAATCATCAGAAAATGGATGGTGGTTGGTGGGAGCCTCATTTCTCACCATTGGAGTGGGATGTGGAGGCTAGAATAAGTCTTGTAGTGGCTCATCAGGATTGGGCATATCAGTATGAATTCATATTCAGTCCAATATGGATGTAGATGAATACATGTGGAAATATTTATTGATGTGTTTGTACACCTAAGTTAGTATATATATGTACATTTGCTATTTTTATCAAAGATCCTAGAAGCAAGAATATTCCTGCAGCAGCAAGCATAACTCACACCCAGATCTTGGTTTCTAGCATCATTTTACAATATAAAAAATGAAGAAATAGCTGGTTTTAGGACTGGGGAGGATATAGACAAGATGCTCCTTGGGTATCATGTAGTACCAAAAAGTAAGGAAGTGCTCTCAAAACAACAACACCCCTCAAACCAAACCAAAACCCCACAAAAAGAACAACAAAACCAGATCCCATATCCAGACAAGCCCACAATGATGGGAAAATTTCAAAGAAACACAGAGAGCTCCCAGTGACTAAACTGGAAACAATTTGAGGAACAAGATAAAATAGTATCGGCTTATAACCCCAGATATAAATGAATAGTCCATACTGATACAAACAATGAAATAAATAAGAGGGGAGTAGGGGGAAAGCACAGTATGTAAAAGGGAATAATTGTAATTTTTCAGTGGGAAAACCTGACAAATACTACCTCAGCTAGGTGCTGAAGGTTAACAACAATGATAAGTCATGTTGAGAATGTGTACCCTTGACCCATGTGATGATGATGGCACCTCTCCTCTGGTGTCTTCCAAGAACAGGTAAGTCCATTCTGATTATCACAAAATTCCCAAGGGAGAGATTTGGTATCAAATACCTGGCCAGGACTACAAAACTATAGGTCATCAAAAATAAGAAAACCTGGCTGGGGATGGTGGTGTATGTGTGTAGTCCTGGCTACTCAGGAGGCCAAAGTAGGAGGTTTGGGAGTTCGAGGCCAGCCTGGGCAACTTAGCAAGGCCCTATCTCAGAAGCAACAACAACAAAACAACCAATCCCAAAATAAACGAATATGTATGTTCCGTGTTAAACAAGGAACATTTGAGAAACTCATAGCCAATAGGAGCCCAAGGAAACACTACCATTAAATGTAATGTGGAGTCCTAGAGGGGATAAGGAACTATGAATAAATTATGGGCTTCTGTTAATATTGTGTCAATACTGGCCTCAAACTCCCAAACCTTCTACCTTGGCCATCTGAGTAGCTGGGACTACAGACACACACCACCATCCCCAGCCAGATTTCCCTTATTTTTGATGACCTTATTAGTTTTGTAGTACTGGCCAGGTATTTGATACCAAATCCCTCCACTGGGAGTTTTCTGATAATCAGACTGGACTTGACTGTTCTTGGAAGACACCAGAGGAACAGTGGCCATTTTAAGGCAAGTACCAATCTAATGTGAGGTTCATAACAGGGAAAACTGAGTGTGATGTATATGAGAACTCTCTGTATGCTTTTATAATTTTTTTCTGTCAATCTAAAACTATTCTAAAATAGTGTTTTTTTTTTTTTTGAGAAGATAATTTTTGAAAGTGCTTTCTAGGGTAGGGATATGGTAAATCAGGCCTATAGCCACTGTCTAACTTATTTTTTGATATTTGAAGTTTACTGGTGTGAAAAAAAATTATGCGGTTCAGAGCTCATGATATGCTGTTATTCAGGTTCCTGATGTTCATCTATAATATGAAATGGCCTCCTAATAGCTCTGCCATTGGCATCCAGTGGTTCTGAACTGGGCTGAAGCCACCAGGTATGAGGTGTTTTGATTTTGTCCAGTAACTGGAGGATACACTACTGGCCTTTATCAGGTAAGCAGCAGTAAATGCTTAATGTTCTGTGATGCATAGGACAGCTTCCTACAGTGATGAATTTTTCCTCATTCCGAATGACTTGCTAAATTGTCTTGGTACTTTTTCCAGGGGGAAAACCTGTTTAAAATAATCTAAGTTCAGACTCAAATTTTACTTTTATATGTGATATACACTAAGTTTTTTTTTTTTTTTTTGCATGACTTTAATTATGTGAATTTTCCAGGAATGTCAGTATCATATAAATCCAAAGGAAAATTGTAGTTTACTTGTTTGGAAATACTGCATCACATGGCTTTTGGTATTTAAGTCACCAATACAGAACACTTGTAAAAAAAAATTTTTTTTTTTTTTGCAAAAGGGATAAGATAGAGATATAATGGATTATTTTGGCACTTTTGAAGATAAATGGGAGTGCTTTAAAAATCATGCTTGGAAACTGGGCATAGAGTGGATTGTCCCAGGAAAATTGAGTTATTCAAAAGAGTCCGGAAAGTGTAGTTTTTAGCTTTCCAGCCCCCCAGTACAGGAAGACAGCAGAGGTCAGAATAGATATTGTGAGAAAATCTACATATCCTTAGTAATATCTTTGTTTGATCTATCAGCTGCAGTGAGAAAGTGTGTTAAAATTTCTCTCTATAATACTGAATGGGCATTTTTTCTTTTTCTTCCTTTAAACTTTCACATTATATTTGTAAACCCTACTTTTTAGTGGCATACAGGTTCATAATATCTTCCTAGTGAATAGAAACTTGTATCAAATATGCAATGACCATTTACATTTCTAAATAATACTTTTTTTTGCTTTGAAATGTATTTTGTACGTATATGACAATCTGGGCTTTATTTTAATTTTGCTTGACATCTTTCATCTTTTCATATTTAATGTTTCTGCATCCTTATGTTTTTTGTTTCTGATAGTTAGCATGTAGCTGGATTAAAAATGATACTCTAGAGGCTGGGGTTGTGGCTCAGTGGTGGAGCGCTTGCCTAGGATGTGTGAGGCACTGTGTTCGATCCTTAGCACCACATAAAAATAAAATAAAATAAAATAAATAAAATAAAGGTATTGTGTCCATCTACAACCCCCCCAAAATTAAAAAAACAAAAAAAATGATATTCTAGTGCTTTATAGATGCACATAAAGGTGAAATGCACTGTGAAATATGCACATATGTATCTAGCATAATTTTGTCATTTTCATTCCACTGTTTCCCATCCTTCTTCTCTCCCCTTCAGTTCCCTTCCTCTCTCTGCTCCACTGATCTCCCTTACGTTTTCATGGGATTTCTGTCTCCCAACTTTTTTTCTTATTTTGAACTAGCTTCTGCCTATGAGAGAATGTTCAATCCTTGGCTTTTGAGTCTGGTTATTTCACATAGCATGGTGTTTTCCAGTTTCATTTATCAGCAAATGCCATATTTTGTTCTTCTTTATGACTGAGTAAAACTCTATTGTGTATATATACAGCACATTTTCTTTACTTATTCATGTATAAATAAGTGGAAAAAAGACCAGTAGAGAAAGGAAAATGGGAGGGAAGAGGGAATGGGAAGGGGAAACACTGGGGCTTGAAGTGAAGCAAATCATATTCCATGCTTATATGATTAGGTCAAAATGAGCCCCAGGATTATGTGAGACTACAATGCACTAAGACATAAAAATATCAGTCTAGGTTTTTATCTGGCAAATGTAATCTGTTTATGTTAAACCACAATCACTGCTTGATTTGAATCCATTTTTATCTTATTTTCTAACCCCCCCTTTCAATATTTCCCATTTAATTGTCTTTCATTTTGTATTAACACCAGTTGTCAATTTTTTCTACACTAGTTTTGAAAATAACATACTACTTTATTTCATTTATTTTAAGAGATAGAAATTTTAACAGATACACTTAATAACATATAAAGGAAATTAATATCTTTATTCTCTTTCTGTAAGAAATTAAATGTCTTAACATCAATCCTTTACTCTCCTTGAATAATTATCATTGCCAGGAATTTAGCTTTACATTGATGTTTTGACCCTTCAAATCACCATACTTGTTATCATATATAGTCCATATTTGTTTGTTTACCAATTTCTTTGTTTATTATTCCCTTTTACACCTAAAACCTACTTTCTAGGATCATTTTCTTTAAGTACTTTTTTTATAAAAATTTTTGTAGTGAGTTTCTATATATTCTATCTTAGTTTTGCCTTTTTTTTTGGAAAATATATTGATTTCAAAGTAAATTTCCTTTGGTAGAGAATACTAGACTGACATTTGTTTTCTTTCACTATTTAAGCCCATATCATTTTACAGGTGTCAGAGAAACCAACCAATAGTTACTGAGAAATCAGCTATTGGTTAATGTAAATTATTTGTAGGTAATCTAATCCCAGCCCTTCATTGTTTTAAAGGTCTCTTTGCTTTTTGTATTCTGCAGTTTCACTATACTCAGTTGAGATTATTTGTCCTCTCAACCCCAACCTTTTTTTTTTCCTTATTTTCCTTTGTGTTTACTGGGTTTCTTGAGTCAGTGGATTTCTTGGAAAAATTCTTGATCTATTATTCTACCTCATAATTTGTGTTAAACCTTAATAATAGATTTTGAATTGGACATAAGTTGGGCCTTCTCATTTATACATATCTCTGGATGTCTTTTGCATTTTTTTCTTTTCTGTATTACTGTTCTGTTTTGTATAGTTTTTCAAACCAATCTTCCAATACTCTCCAGCTGTATAGTTTAACTCGCCAACTGAGTTTATGCTTTCAACTCTTATGTCTTTTTATTTCTAGAAGTTCTATTTTTTTATTTCTCTAAAGTTATTTGTTAATTTTTATAAATGGTTTTTTTTCTTTTGTCATACTCTCAAAACTTATAAACACCAGAAAGATGTTGAACACATTTATGTTCAATGTTGATAATTATATAATCTGAACTGTACATGATTCTAATTACACCACTTTTTGTTCTGACTCAAAATCATGGTAGCATGCTTCCTTGTATATTTAGTGATTTTTAAAATTTTGAGCTGATGTTATTAGAAACTTTAATAATTCTTGGAGGCTTGAGTTTAAAGTATGTTACTCCAAAGAGGATTTGCTTTATTTGTGTGAATAACTTTGGACCATTTAAAATGAAGATTTTAAACTGAGATTATCATGTTAAATTTTGGTGTGAGTACTTGGTTCAAAGAATATGAACTTGTGTTTAAAAAGGTTTTAGGGCTGTATGCTTATGTGTGTTCACACTTGTGCATTTTTTTCCATCTAGAATCTAAATTGAATCAGGTATTATCTTTACTAACTTTTGTATGTGGCTATTTTTTCTTTCCTCTGAGAACTGCCTTTTGGGAATCCTGGTTTTACACAGTGGTCTCAGATTTGATCTCCAACCCTGTTCAAGTTCACATTTAGTCCCTTGTCTCCAGGACTTGTTAAAAGCCAGGCTTTAAGCTTCTAGATATTGCCAAAATCCCTGAGGATTCCCATGCTTATTTACCCCTATTGATCTGTTCTATGTGCCTAACACAGAAATATATGTTGAATTGAATTGCCCACGAGAGTTGAGTTCATTCTATGTGACATTCTGAAGTGTAATGAGGGGAGCCAGGGCCCTAACAAGAGCTTTAGCTCTATTTGAGGAATAATGTTCCCAAATTAGTTGATCATCCTGGTTACCAGAGGATTCATGAACAGGCCAAACAACTGCCTACTGGGGGTGTGATCAAGGGACTTAGGTGTGGAGTTTGTTTGGACTGAAACGCTGCCATCTTCTGATCCTTGCTTGTTGCTGACCCGAATGGCAAAAATGAACACCATGATAGACTCAGGAAGAAGTCTCCATTTCCTTGGCTATGCTGAGAGTTTAGAAGATTGTCTTGCCAGATCTGTACTCTTCCCGCAAATGGCTCCTTGACACCTGGCAGCAGAGTTCTGTGGCTCAGTAGGCTGTGCCAGAGCATGCGATCCCTGGGCTGCCTGGATCTGCTGTTCATGTGGCCACGTCTTCAGGCCCTGTCAGGTGGCCATGGTTTGTGTTGGCTGCATTGCTGCTAAGGGGGAGGTGGACTGGGGCACGATGAGTGAGCAACAGGTGTTACCAGGAGTCTAGACAGAAAAGGATCCTTATACCCACAGGAGCCTTGGTTTAAAATAGCTCGTTCCCCAAACATTCTTCTAGTGGCGCTTGGCCGTCTGGGCTGTGGTTTAAGATCATTTGGCAATTCTCATTCTGGTAATCAGAGAACAGCTTCTGGGGCTATAAAATCATCAGCAAGTTAAGCCAATTAGCTCAGCCAGGAAAGGATTATGTACCCCAGCTTTGGTACCAGGCAACCATGCAAGTTGATTTTACAAAGTTTGTGTTCTTGCATACCGTTTTCCTCCAGGCCAGAAAAGTTGAACCTAGGGCTTGGCCTCAGCAGGTGACATCTTTGGGTCCTTTTTAAATTGTCCATGGAGAAACCGGGTGAAAAGTGTTCACACTCTCATGCATGGTGTATGTAGCAAGGAGAGGAGGAGTCCAACTGCAAACATGGGCAATCTATGTGAAGAGTAGTAAAATGTCCCTTTCCTGGTTGGGAGGAATTAGATGCTTTGCAATGCTCAGTCATGAGGGGCTAAGGTGGAACCCACGCTAATCACAAGGTTAAAGCCAGTGGGTCAATCCAGATGTAGGCTAACGGGACTCTGTACCATGTTAGTACAAATTAGTGCTTCAGGTTTACATGTGGGGTTATTGACAGATAATGTAATGTTATTCTGGCACACAAAAAGAAAGTAAATTCAGACATGCCTTTGGAAAGCAAGCACCAAGTTAGTAATGGGACATTTTCTTCCTCAAATGGTTTCTTTTGTGTTTTGGCCCTTGTTACAGTAGCACCTTCTACTGCTTACAGATGGGAATAAAAAAGACAAGACAAGGAAGAGTGTAAAAATAGTCCACCCAACCACAGAAAACTACTGCTAACATTTTGATGAATATCTTTCCAGCTCCTTCCTTCGTCTC